ATTGGGATAATGGAAAAGAAAATGGAAACTACTATAGTATAGTAGGGTTATCTAGGGTTTATATAGGGATAATGGAAAAGAAAATGGAAACTATAGGGGACCTTGTATGGATCGGATACTAATCTCGTGTCTGGTATGGTTCTTGTGCCTTGAAGTCGATCTTCACGCTCCCCAGCTGCTGCCTCAGATTGCACTAATATGGTGCTGCGGCTGATGGATAGCTTTGACCATGTGCCTAAGACTGTGCTCAAACCCCTCTGCCTTTGACCAGAATGAAGTGAAGCCAGGTTGCTGCAGAAATCTTCACGGCAAGGCACGTGATTCTCTTGAACGTGCCTGTCTCATGGAAAGACCACGACATCCGATGCAGTGCTGCGCAACCCTGAAACATGCTTGCCAAGGAAACGATTATGTCGTGTTAGGTTTCTGAATGCATGGACCCGGATGAACAAATTGGGACCCCATGCTCATGAAGGTCACTGGCACCTGGGGTCGTACCTGTTTTGGTTTGGTTACCAGTCCAACAACAACTAATAGAAAGGGTAAGTCTACATGGATGCGAGAGGGAGACGTGCGAATTCCTGCAATGGTCTCCCATATGACTTATCGAGCATTTTACACGTCGCGCGCGTGCGGAGGAGTTCAACACGTCCTTGGATCCTTTCGCGGTCTTCCGCGGTTGGGGTTTCACCCGACAGTTGTTTGAACAGGCTTCCGCAACGCGCTTTCGGAGCTAACACACAAATTAAGTTTCCGCGAAAGAGCTGGGAACTTGGAAGCGGACTGAGCACATATTGAGTGAGCTTGGGCTGCAGAGACCCTTCTGAAGCTGCCGCATGCTTCCGCGCGTACATTTTTGTGCGTTTCAAGTGCGCCAGCCAGGGCTCGCTCATTTCCGTACTTGTACAGGTTGTAGTAAATGCATGAGAAACTGAAGCTCATTGAATCCTTCGTTGTTGGGTTATGATTACCCCTGGGTTCCTCCAACACCAGAGCATGCATCAGGCCTCTCGTCCGGAACGGCTCAAGCGAAGCTCGAAAAACGCCCCCTTTGACATCCTGCTGCGACAACGGCTGCTCCACGAATGTGATGCGGAGAAAGCAGGATATGAGGGGCAAGAGTCCATATGCAGTTGCCCAGCACCGTACCCTTTAGGGATCTCACTAGCCCAAAGTTGACATTACGTTATGCGCTCTAGGACCCAAAATAAGTATATTAATGGACTTAGATCTTCAGGGATCTGAAGCCCAGGCAGCTTTGGATCGAATCCTTTCATGCGTAGCCCGCTATGACCTACATCATGCTCGCTCAGGCACAACGGCATCAGGCTTCCTGGCGGATCCGTGCTCTCAAGTTCGAACAACAGACCGAAACTGTTAGAGCCCCCATCAATGTAGTGGTTTCCCTTTGATTTCCCAGTGCTTGGACATTTGGTTCCCTAAACCCTACTCCAACAGTAAGCCTGCAAACCTCCTTCCGCGCCTCTAAGTTGACAGTAACTGCGGTGCTGTCATCAAAGTCGCTGAAAGTGGCGCTCGGTGAATTTGCCAGCAGCCTTAGGACACCGTCTGATTCACAGGTACATTAACTATCGCTGTTGCTCGTGCCATGCAATCACCGCTGACCTGAAAGCCTCAACAATGATTACTGCACCGAAAATATCCAGTGGTTTCAAGTTACAACAGCTGCTTTTCTCTTCAAACCATAGCTGCGACAAACGTATGCAGTTTAGTTTGCCAGCTGTTATGCACCTTGCAACAGTCTACTAGACTTGTTATACACAAGAAGTATTTGCTCAAAACTCACCATACAAGGACCCTTTGATCAACCCAGTGGCCAAAAGCCTGTGAGTTGCGGACCCCAGCGATTTTGGTCGACAGCAATTTGGTGCCGGCGGGTGAGTAGCCCGCAGCTGGATGTGGGTCCTCAGATTCGCTTCAGAGCTCATGCAAGGCGTACCTGTAACCCCAAATACTTAGTAGTAATTACCTCGTAAGTCATAGGTATAACCCCTGAAACTTTTGGTAATTGGGGTTATGCTGACAGCTGTGCGGCTAAGGTAAGCACATGCTTCTCGTCTTGGTGCTCAACATCTCTGTGAGGACAGCACAATTCCCAAGAGATGGCATTGGTAAAGTTGAAGGGAAGCCTCAAACGCGACAGCCGCTCACGTCGGGAAGCTACATTCGCTGATGCTAATAAAATGTTGGGGTGATGTGCTGCCAACAAATTGTCAAGACCATTGCAAGCACGGCCAAAATGTAAAAAAAAATGTGCTGTTAACAGCAGTTCCAATGCTGACACAAGCCGGCACACGATTGCTGGCCACGCTATCAATTCATCAACCCCCACCTTTTCAGGGCCGTAATGTTAGGATCCCTATTATAATCCCTATCAAGGGGAGGAGGTTTATTAATCAGGTGTCTACGTTAACCCAAAACCCAAAACCCCAAAACCCTAAACCCCTAATCCCCGAACACCCTAAACCCCCTAAACCACAAACCCTAAACCCTCAATCCTAAACCCCTAATCCCCTAAACCCTCAATCCTAAACCCCTAAACCCCTAACACCCTCAATCCTAAACCCCTCACACCCTCAATCCTAAACCCCTAAACCCTAAACCCCTAAACCCCTAAACCCTAAACCCTAAACCCCTATAACCTATATAGCCCGTATATGAAACCCATCAACAGTCAAACCCCTGAACCAAGCCTCAACAAGATCTCGCCATCCATCTGGCTCGGCCCAACAAAAAGTGGAGACTTTGCCTCTCCAGGACTGGCTTCATGTGAGGATTTGGGGTCTAGGATTTAGGATTTAGGGTTTAGGATTTAGGGTTTAGGATTTAGGGTTTAGATTAGGGTTTAAGGTTTAGGGTCTAAACTCCTTAAACGGGGTTATAGGGGATAATATAGGGGAGTATTAATCATGGGGCTTGTTAAGGGGGATACCTGGAATTTAGACCATAACTCATGTCTCTGCTGCAAAGTTCGCACACTGATTAATGCCCGAAGCGACTTCGCCTCCTGATCCGCGCTGGGCACCAGCATGTCCTTGCAGTCCTGGATGTCCTCAGCATCCTTGGCATGTCCAGGAACGCATTAGGAAGACTTAGCAGCAGCATTACAAACTTTGCTGGAAAACAGCAATTGCGATGAACTCCGCCGCCCATGAATGAAGAGTCGGAGAAGTACCATCAGTGCGCCACAACAAACTACTTACCAGGACTGCGATGATTTCTAGTTTTCTACACCTTTACTACTAATGTCCTAATGCTGCTGAACGTAATTTTCCATGAGCCAGAGTCCCGAGCAACATTCATGACCTCCACGGAGTCGATGTCAATGACATTCATGAAGAGCCTGGCAGCTACTCCAGCTTGAGGAGAATTAAGCAATCACTCTGCCATAGATTGCCATAGATGCTGTGCTGTCAAAAAAGGGTCATGGAGAACACATATGCGTTGGCGCTTCTGTGCGGATGCTGGCCTCGTTAACTCGACACAGGGGCGCCCCTGAGTCGTTTTGGCAACAACCTCAAGGCAGCATGCTGCAACCGATTTCACCATGCTGTGCAGAAACTGATGGTTCGGTAAGTGCTTATTCGACGTTCAGGCTTCCTCAAGCGACTTGTTGGAATCATCCTGCTCCTGCTGCTTCTGCTTCCACTCTGTCCATCTGTCCTGCTACGCTTGATCCCAAACATTCTATACCACAAAAAAGTCGCATGACCTTGAGACTAGCCCAAGTATTGCTGGTTCTATGTTCATGGCTGAGCCCGGCGCCTCTGAAGCTTCGAAGCCAGCGTCGCATTTGTGTTTCTGTCAATGGACGGCCAGGTCTTGTTCTACCCTTATAATATCCAAAAATGTACAATATTATTCTATATTATGCTATAACAACCTATGTTATACCATATTTTACGATATTGAACAGTAATATACTATGATATTTGAAGCTCTTCGTCATCAAGCACGAACTTCAGTCACCAATGCCGTGAGCAAACTCAAGCACAAGAGGATGTGATTGAATGATGCTTTGCAAGCACTTACTCTGCGGCGCATGAAAATGCTCAAAGAACAACACATATGGAAGCTGTCACTGGATTCCCATTTGATTCTGGTGAACTGACTTCTGTCGGCGCAATGGATTGACCCTCTGTTTGCGGCAGATGGCTGGTGCATGTTCAGTCCTGGGGCTTTCTAAGAACCTTCTACACTTCTCACAGACGGGACCGAAAAAGAACATGGGGACTCATGCCCCGCACCTGATGCGAAGCTTTCATGATCTGACCTGTCAGCATGTTTGAACATGGGCCTCGTCTGTAAGCTCAATAGGCATTTCGTTTCAAGTGTCATGGCTCGCCATGCTAACGCCTGGAGTATTACCATGCGCCTATCTTTCGAGGACCCCCCACCCTGTAATAGTGGTATATTAGGAATACAATAGGACCATCATATGATCCTTATTATTACTCATACTCACTATTACAGGGTGGGGGGGGTCCACCTAACTCCTATTTGGCAGTGCGATGAACATAAAGCACAGCCAGTGCGATCGTACCAGCAGACATCTTCTCGTCCTGACACGACACTGAAGAAGCTGCAGGTCTGACGGGTTAGCAGGGAATAAGGGAATATGATCCCTATATAACCCTTATAGCATATGTTCCGGTATTTCCTACTATAACCCCAATATATACTCTACTATAATGCTATAGTTCCCGTCTTCTTTTCCATTATCCCTATCTAACCCCTAAACCCTAAACCCTAAATAGTAGTTTCCATTTATTTACCATTATCCCTATATAGCCCCCAAACCCTAACCCCCCCAAACCCCTACACACCC